GGTAAATTTAAATAAATATAATAAATTGTATAATACAATTATGTATTAACATCAATGGTTATTTCATATGTTTATAGTTGTAAGTTTTATAAACATTTTTGTATTTTTTTTTTATTTCAATTTATGTGTATTTTGTTTCAAAAAAACAAAATAGTTAATAATTCAACTTCAGTTAATAATAATAATAATAATGATATTCAACTAATAAATATAATATTATTACATGTGTGTTATGCATAATTGATCAGATGGGAATCATAAAAAAAACTTATTTTGTTTTATTTAATTTCAGCTTGTTGCCACGGAAATTTTTCTCATTTTTGTTTAAAGTATTGCAATAATTAAAACTAATAAATAAAAAAAATATATATTCTCTTTCGCTCTCATTTTTTTTTTATTCAATTTGTATAAATATTTTTAGATTTTTAAATTTCAACTTTTTAATATTTTTTCAATTAATGGATTTTTAAAAAATGGTTTTAGTTAATGATAATAACCCTGACATATTTTCAATAAATATTTTTAGATTTTTAAATTTCAACTTTTTAATATTTTTTCAATTAATGGATTTTAAAAAAATGGTTTTAGTTAATGATAATAACCCTGACATATTTTCAACTAATAAATATAATAGTATTAAATGTGTTATGCATAACTGATCAGATTGGGATCATGATTTCTCATTCTGTTGCGATCACAGAGACATCACCTGTATTATTCACGCTGAAGTCACCTGGTCAGAAGAACACATTTATACAGACGTCAAGTTCACAGTGACTCAACTGACACTTTCTTTATGTCCTCATGAGGGTTTGCAGATGCTTGTACAGATCTACTGCCAAAAAACCTCTTCAGCAGATGCGAGTGTTTAGCATTTCGTCCAGTTTCTGTCTTTCTCAGTTTAATCACCAGGAAGTCATGAGCGCTTGATGAAGTCGGCTGGTTATACTCCTCTTTTCTTTATCTGAGCTTCTTGACGGCATGGTTTTCTTCTCGTGTCTGTCTTCCAGCCGTGGCATAAGAACTGCTTTCGCTGTGCCAAATGTGGAAAGAGTTTGGAGTCGACCACTCAGACGGAGAAAGATGGAGAAATCTACTGCAAAGGTCAGATTTCTGTAGTTTAATTGGGTTTGACAATCCTGATTGAAGGGGTCAGCGGTAATCTAAAACATTGAGGTGATGGTTCACCCAAAAATTAAAATCTGCTGTTCATTTACTCACCCTCAGGCCATCCAAGATGTAGATGACTTTTTATTCTTCAGAAGAACAGTAAAGAAGATTTTTAGGTGAAACTGATTGCTGATTCATTCATTGCAAGTCAATGGCTACCGGCACTTTTAGAGTCAAAAAAGCAAATACAGGCAACACAAGATGAATCCCCGTGGCTCCTGATGATATTTTGAGGTCTTATGAAGAGAAACGATCAGTCTGTGCAAGAAACTGAACATTATTTACAGCATTATTACCTGTAATCCAGAGCCTCAGGCAAACGGTTCGGGCTGATGTTTGGTTTGTGAATGAATGATTCTTTTGATCCGGTTCTTTTTGATGAACTAATTGAACCAGTTCACCAGATCTGACTGAAGCGTCTGAAACAGTTCACTGCTCATTCAGCTCAGATCTACAAGTTACTCAATCAAAACTCGCTTTCAGACACCTGACAGTCACTCCGACCCGAAATGAGCCAAAATACCGGTATATCTGATCCTGTGATGAATGAACTGATTCAGTGCTCCAGTTCCTCCAATAGTCACTGAACTGAAGAAACCGTTCGACTCGGACCCAAGACCGATTTATTAAGTTTATTCGCTTTAGACATGTAATCATTATTGGGTGCTTTAATAATACAACTGCGTATACATTACATCATTGCCTAATTACATAAACCACTGAATTGAACCAGTTAATTGAAACTAACTGTTTGAAAGAACCAGTTCGCAGAAAAGAATCGGATTTCCTTGTTGCCTGATTCTCTGGATTACAAGTAATAATGTTGTAAATAATGTTCAGTTTCTTGCAAAGAGCGATCGATTCGCTTCATAAAACCTCAATATATCATCAAGAGCCACAGGGATTAATTTTGTGCTGTATTGTATGTGCTTTTTTGACTCTCAAAGTGACGGTAGCCATTGACCTGCATTATATGAATCACCAAAGAAGACCAGTTTCAGCTAAATTCTAAAAAAAAAAGGTCACCTGCTTCTTGGATGAACTGAGGGTGATAAATTTAAAAACAAATGTTCATTTTTGGGGGGCAAAATGTCCATGTAAGATAAAGAATAAACTGGAATTTTCCATAAAGCATCATGATCAGCCTCTCAAGCTCGTGGTTTTTGTCTGTCTGTCATATACATACAGGACGTTTCTCTGATAACAGGGAGTAACATCAAAACCACAAGCTGAATAACTAGATTAACCAGAAACTCTTGAATGATTACGATCAAGAGTTAATGTTTAATATGCTTTAAAGACTTTCTGAACTCTTTGAAGTGACAATGAAAGCTCATCAGTTTTGAAGATAAACCTCATCTATGACATGTCGCTCACTAATTACCTACATTTGTGCTTCATTTCATCTTTCTTTGTTTTTCAGCATGTTATGCAAAGAACTTCGGACCCAAAGGATTTGGATACGGTCAGGGAGCAGGAGCTCTGGTTCACGCTTGATGATAGTCAGGACATTGTACATTTCTTTACTATTATAACACACTCATTTCAAAAGAAGAAAAGGACCATTGAGTGTTATGTTTTCATGACAGTTAAGCACATTTAGTCTTCAATTCTCAAGTACTGGAAAAACGTCAATTATATACATATATAAACAATGGCTCTAAGAAATAAGGTTAATTGTCTTTATGCAAAATATTTTTTTTCACCATTTACACCAACTGCAGGGTGTTAATTGTTCATAGAGGACCAGTTATATTTTCATTGCAATTAGGAACATTTCCTCCCAAATTCTCACTACCATATATGTAAATAATTGATTTTTTTAAATTATTTATATTAAAAAATGTGATATTTAATATAAATTATTTCATTTGATATACAATTATTTTATATATTGCTACATTTTTTGTGAAACAACAAAGCTACTGCATTACAGTAATGCTTTTTTTATTTCCAAGAGAGAAAAAAAATGGTCCTAAAAAAAGTGGGTCAATTTTCTTTATCCAAAATATTTAACCCTTTACAGAGTGTTAATTGTTTATAGAGAACCATTAAATGTTATATTTTCATTACAATTAAGCACATTTCCCAATTATAATGACCATAATGTAAAATACATTTAGATTAAATAATACAATTAAGTATTTGATATAAATGATTTTATATAAATACATTTTATAAAGATGTTTTTTTTTTTTTTATAAAATACTGTATTACAGTAATGAGAATTTGGGAAAATGTCACTATCATTCAAATAGTGGTCCTAAAAAATAAGGTTAATTTTCTTTATGCAAAATATTCTTTTTTTGAACCCTCTACTGGCGTTAATGGTTCATAGAGCAGGCATTGTACGAGCATCTACATTTAGGAAACAAACATGTTCAATGTAAAATAAACCCTTGTTTCAGTGCACTTTGCTTCTGCAGTGCGGAGATATTGAAAACTAACGCACAGGCCTTTCACCTTCGAATGTTTTATTAATAAAGCCAATAAAATTGAACCATGCCCAATAAGTTACATCTGAAGCAGAGTAGGGTGACGTCCTGATCTCAGCTGAGGCACTGGAGATGAGCATGTGCTTTTCACATGGTGGGAAAACAGCCGGCAGAGGAACAACAGAGTGAATATATTCTCTAAAAACAGTGTCACATGTATGAATGAATGACCGTCACTGTGCCTAATCCGTATATTACAGCACAGGGCCCATCCACCGCATCTGCTCACGTCTGCTTCTCTGGCATTTACAGTTTGTACATCCAGTGGTACAACAAACCCAGCAACGAAACATACAAAAGAAACCCTTTAGGCTGAATATTAATCAATGAGAATGGGACATTCAGATATAATACATCTGCAGAGCTCTGATCGGCCGCAGAGCATGAGGGACACGCGAGAACGATACAAACATCGGGTTTAAAATGTAAAAACAAACAGAAAAGAATTAAAAAAAAAAAAAAAAAACCCCGGTTTAATTCAACTTTAAAGTCGTTACGTCAAAACTGACTAAAAGTGATCGAGGATGGATCATTTCGACAAACTTGAATCTGTTTTATCTTCTTCAGGGCGAAAAAGGAAAATAAAAGCTGAAACGTTTTCACGGAAGCTTGCTTTTAATGTTGTAAATTACCTGTATTTGTTTAAGTTACTATTACTTAATCAAAACAACCCAACTGCAGTTTGATTGATATTACTTGCAGGGTGATCACTACGTCCAGGCTTCACACATGCAGTGGAGACCTGCAAGGTCAAAGGTCTACACACAGCAGTGCCAGACGCCACTAAAAGCTACAGTCATACACTTTGATAATAGTCCATTTTTTTGTTTTTTCGCTTTTTGGTAAGATAAAAAAAATTAGGAGCAGCTTCAACTAACAGACCAAAAAAAACAAAAAAAAACAACGAAAGTCACTCACAGAATAATGAATCTAGTTTGTTTATGTACAGATGCACATTCTTTACATCAGTTCATCCTGTCAGCTGCTGCTGCTGCCACGACAACGCCACACCAACAGGAAGAGGAAATGGAGGAGAGCAAAAGGGGGAGGAGCTTCCTCTTTTTACGCAAACGTGAAGATCCCTCGGCGACACTGGGGAAACAAGCTCGCTTCTTCAGTAACGACGAACAAAACGAAAAAAAAAAAGATCAGTGCATTGTTGTAGGCAGACGAATAATGTCGCTGCCACAAAAAAATAAAAATGTAAAAATAAAGGTAAAAGACGGAAGGAGCCCCTCTGGCGTGTTAAACGGCATCTTCCTTTAAGTTCATACAGCTATCAGGTCCACTTAATGGCTTTTCAACAGCATTACAACTTTAAATGTATACACTTCCTAAAACTACTCATAGATAATAAATATAGAGGTTCACATACGAGAGTGTTATTTCTTGTAAATGCAGAGGGAACCTGGATTAATCTCATAAACGCATCAAGAGCTTGTCCGGGGGTCTTTCATTAAACAAGTTTACCAAATAAGCCATGCTTATTACAGTTAGTCTGATTTATTTTGAACTAAATCGACTGACAATAACTCAGACTAACTGAAATAAACCTGGCTTATTTGGTAAACTTGTTTTATGAAACCACACACACACACACACACACACGCATACATATGCATAAACAATTAAATAATTACATTTATAAAATTAACAAAATTATGTGTGTATATATATTTTTTTTTAAAGTGAAGACTGTTCTGCATTATTGTAATGTTATATTGATGTAAATTCAGCACATTTCTCTTTCCCAGTGCTCATTACCATAATGCGTTCAGCCGTTTTTGTTGTAATTCTCATTGCAATACAGTATTTTTTTTTGTTTTGCATTAAACAATGGCTATAATAAAATGATTTAAAAAATAGCATAATTTAAAGGCAGTATAGGCAGTACAGTAATGAAGAGGTTTTTGTGCATGATGGTAATGAGAATTATGGAGAAAATGTATTTAATTTTCATGAAAACAATAATAAAATGCAAAAACAGGCTTCATTTTCTCTAAACAAAATATAATCTGGTATTTTTTTCTTTTCGATTTTTGGGTGAAATATGACCCGGCTTCATCTTCTTGACACGTTTCGTAGGATTCACCCCACCTAAACTATTAAACATGCTGCAAATGTACATATATGCTAAAATGTAAAAACCGAAATGAAGACATGTAAAATAACCTCATGATACCATAATTACTCTTTGAAAAATACTACATAAATAGGTTAAAATAAATATGTTAAGTCACATTATTTAAACAGGACATCTAGTCGTATGAATGCGTGTCAGTAGGATACCTGTTTTGATCTGTGATTTAAAAAATAGCATAATTTAAAGGCAGTATAATATAAATACTTTTGATATTTAAATACAGTAATGAAGAGGTTTTTGTGCATGATGGTAATGAGAATTATGGAGAAAATGTATTTAATTTTCATGAAAACAATAATAAAATGCAAAAACAGGCTTCATTTTCTCTAAACAAAATATAATCTGGTATTTTTTTCTTTTCGATTTTTGGGTGAAATATGACCCGGCTTCATCTTCTTGACACGTTTCGTAGGATTCACCCCACCTAAACTATTAAACATGCTGCAAATGTACATATATGCTAAAATGTAAAAACCGAAATGAAGACATGTAAAATAACCTCATGATACCATAATTACTCTTTGAAAAATACTACATAAATAGGTTAAAATAAATATGTTAAGTCACATTATTTAAACAGGACATCTAGTCGTATGAATGCGTGTCAGTAGGATACCTGTTTTGATCTGATTCATGATTAGACGAATCAAGGCAGCTTAAAGGAATCGTTCACCTACCGTTTTTTACTAATCATCATGTCGTTCCAAACATATGTGTATTACTTTCTCTGTAGAAAAAAACAACACTTTCTACTTATATGGAAAAGAGCAGCCTGAACATTCTGCTAAATATCTATTTTTGTGTTCCACGTAAGAAAGTCAGTCACATGGGTTTGATGCGACATGAGGATGAATAAATAATAATAAAAGTCTATAATAGTAAACGCTATATCTAATAATAAAACGCTATATCGCCTGATGCTTTTGCTATGCTAATTCTCATTCCTACACAAAGTTCCAGGTTGAACCAGGACTTGTGCACGACTAAGATCCGATATCTCTTTAAAAGCAACAAAAAAGGGGTCACAGGAAAAATCCAAGGTAAAACGAAAAGCAGTCGATGCGCGAAACAAAACACAAACTTCTCTGCTGACCAACTGAGGAGAGCCGGTTGTACTGCATCCGCCTCTGATGTCATTAAACTCCTCCTCTTTCTGTTCCTCGTGTCCCTGCGTCTCGGGTGGACTTGGTGACGGTAACCAATGACAGCATGCGTTCTCCTGACTGGGTGAGGTTTGCAAGTCTTGGTGAAGGAGATGGTCCCCCTTGAGCAGCACTTCAGGAAAACCTCTCCCCTCTTCTCCTTCTCGCTCCGTCTTCTCCTTCACCGCGCTACACCAGCTGGTATCCTGAGCCGGACGTCTGGTCGTACTCTATTGTGTACTGGGAGGTCCAGTCTACCACCACGGGCCGCAGCAGACCGCAGCAGCGCAGCTCGAAGAAATCTATGAGGTTCCTTATACAGCCGTGACTGAAAACAGAGGAGCAACGTTAGGGGAGCAACTTAAAAACAACCAATTCCAATTTTGTCATAGTTCTGACTAAACTGTTCAGTTTAACAATTTTTAGTAATTTTGTTAGGTGGTTTGTCATTTTTATTGTTGTATTGTTATTCATTTTGTAATTTTTATTACTTATTCAAATATTTCTAAATAGTTTTTATTTTATTTCAATTTTAGTTTGTTTTTAGTTAGTAATTTTAGTAGTTCAACTTATGTATTATCTAAAAGTGTTATTACTATTTTGAATTAGCTTTTAATTTTTTGAACAGCATTTATTTATAATGTTCTGTTTAAATTTATTTTTTGTGCATTATTCCTTTTGAAATTTTTATTAGTCATTGTTCAAATATTTGAGTAGTTTTACTCAAGTTTTAGTTCATTTTATATAATGTTAAGTAATCTTAGTATTGAAATTTATTATTAATGTAAACTATTATTATCTGAAACAGTACTTTGAACTAGCTTTTCAATAGATTTAAATAGCACTTATTTTTAAAATTTCAGTTTAAATTTACTTTTTTTTTTATTATTAATTTTGTAATTTTTATTATTCTTCATTCAAACATGTGTAAATAGTTTTGATTTGGTTTTATTTCAGTTTTAGTTTTATTTGAGTAAGTAATATTAGTACTTCATCTAAGTTTTTCATCTAATATTTATATTCTATTTCAAGTTTTTTTTTTTTTAAATGATACAACATGCCAACATTTTTTTTTTAAGTAAATAGCTTATAAGCACTAAATCAACCAAGTGATTTGTCATCACTAAATTATATTATATATATCAGTACTACACCAACCATCAGCCACCCTTTTTCTATAGATATTAGCATTATCATTTTGGGGGATTTTTGAATTAAAACATTCATTAGAGGTAATTCACTTAGTCAAATTGGATCTTTCTATAAATTGTTGTGTCCAAACAAGCACTAGTAGGTACATTTTCGAACAGTAAGTATATATAGATTATATTCTACAGACTGTATTGATGATTATTATACAAAGCATACCTCTATAAAATTGATTTATGGTCACGGCCACTTGACAAACAAACCATCCTCCTCTAGATATAGATAAACTGTTCCCAGCTCAACCTGAAATGAGTTTAAAGGACTCACTTGAAAGGGCTCTCGATGGACGTGGCTGTAACTTTAAAGTGCTTATATCTTCTGGCGTTCATGCGCTCGTTTGTAGTGATGCCCAGAACAGCGATCTATGGAGGATACATCAAACCACAAAAACACATCAAATCTGTTCCAAACCCTAGTGAGCCGACTCCATTTCCACAGGTTAACATGCAGACTGAAACGGATTCCCAAGACCTAAACAAAGGCCTCTGGAAATGTAGCCTAGGTTGGCAGCTTTCCTGCTTTTGTAACAGATCTGGACTTGAGTGTGTCTTACCTGGTAGAGCTGGCACATGATGAGCACAGCGACCCACATGAAGTGAAACAAACTGTTGAGAAACATCCAGAACATCCACGGTGAGCAGGTGGCGATCTGGGTGATGTAGATCCAAAAGCCATCTTTAGTGTAGCTGGTAGCACAGTGAATCCTCCAGTCTGCAGAAACAGAGCACAATCACGTTCAGTTCATCAATATTATACATACGTATGCTACTAATGAAAAAAAACTAAATTAGGTAAAAATCAGGTCTCATTTGTTAATATTAAAGGGATAGTTCACCCAAAAATGAAAATTGTCATCATTTACTCACCATCAAGTCATTCCAAACCTGTTATGAGCTTATTTCTTCTGTTGAACATAAAAGAAGATATTTTGAAGAATGTTGGTAACCAAACAGTTAACGGTACCCACTGACTTCCACAGTATTTTTTTCCATACTATAGAAGTCAATGGCTACCGTCAACTGGTTACATGCATTCTTCAAAATATCTTTTTTTTACAGGTTTGGAACATCTTAAGGGTGAGTAAATGATGACAAGACTTTCATATTTGGGTGAACTATCCCTTTAATGCATTAACTAACATGAACTAACAATGAACTATATTTGTACAGCACTTATTAACCCTATTTAATGTTAGTTCACAGTGCATTAATGTTAACAGATAAAACTTTGATTTTAATGATGAATTAGTAAATGTTGAATCTAAATGCTGTTTAAGTATTGTTCATGCTAACGAATTAAACCTGTTTGTAGAGTGTTACAAAAATGTATACAATTTTCTTCTGAAATTTATCTATATGCATTTATCATCTCATTGATCGTATAAAACTATGCAAACCCAAGTGTACTTACAGCAAATGCATCCGTATATCATCCAACAGATCATACACAACAGGAAGAACAAGTAGCCCATAAAGTAACGGTGGTTTCCACTTCCTGTCCGCAAACAACGAGGAGAAAAACACAGACAAATGAAAGGAATGAGTCATATCTGCCGCTTTACATTCCCTCAACTATCTGCCTTTGGCTCAAATTAGTCCAAGATTTGGATTATGGGATGCTAAATGGGCTTTCTTCACAATAGTGAACAATTTCCTGGCCAATCTCTGCCTTTTCATGTTAATGTCAGGTGGAAAAGCATGTGAGGTGGATGGTTGGTGGGACTTAATGTAGGTATAGGCCTGAAAAACTCACCTACGCAGTTGCCGACCCACGGGCAGTGGTGATCAAACTTGGCAATGCATCGATTGCAAACAGCGCAGTGTTTGGATCTGATTGGCTTCCGTATCTGTGGAGAACAGGCCGTTAAAGTGAGTGTTTTATGCACGGGCACCTCGATGGAAATTGCAATGCAAATCAGACTTTTGAGTTATCAGCTTGCCAACACTGACTGTGTTCAAGCAGCGGTGTGCAGAATAGAAGAGAGTCATAATTACCAAACAGGTGCTGCAGAATATGCTGAGATCCAGACTGCCTGTTTCTGCCAATTCAACTATAGTCTGAAGAGAGACGAAGAGAAAACAGCAGAGCATTTTTTCATTTTCTGAAGAAAATGAGAGTGGTGCTTTCCTGTGCATAAAGCATCAGTGTTCTGGATGGTTGCTTACTGGCACAAGTTAAAAAGCCCTGAATCATACCACTCGAAGATTTGGAGAAATGTAGCATTCCATCACTTGCTCATCAATGGATGCTCTGCAGTGAATGGGTGCTGTCAGAATGAGAGTCCAAACAGCTGATAAAAACATCACAATAATCAACAAGTAATCCACACCACTCCAGTCCATCAGTTAACGTCTTGTGAAGCCAAAAGCTGCGTGTTTGTAAGAAACAAATCCATCAAGGCATTTTAACAAAAAATGGTCACTTCTGGCCAAAATATACATCCATATAATGCTTCCTCCAGTGAAAAAGTTAATTCTCTTGTCCTCTCACATCAAAATTCACCCACATATTTATTTTGGACCGTTTTGGCTTGTAAACGGTGCTTGATCTGTACAGATTTCTCCCCTCATTCAGATGAGACAACATTTTCACTGGAGAAAGCAATATTATGGACTTGTATTTTGGCCAGAAGCAACATCATCATGGATTGGTTTATTATAAACATACAGCTTTTGGCTTCATAAGATGTTAACTGATGGACTGGAGTGGTGTGGATTACTTGTGGATTATTGTGATGTTTTTATCAGCTGTTTGGAACTGTTCCCAGCTCAACCTGAAATGAGTTTAAAGGACTCACTTGAAAGGGCTCTCGATGGACGTGGCTGTAACTTTAAAGTGCTTATATCTTCTGGCGTTCATGCGCTCGTTTGTAGTGATGCCCAGAACAGCGATCTATGGAGGATACATCAAACCACAAAAACACATCAAATCTGTTCCAAACCCTAGTGAGCCGACTCCATTTCCACAGGTTAACATGCAGACTGAAACGGATTCCCAAGACCTAAACAAAGGCCTCTGGAAATGTAGCCTAGGTTGGCAGCTTTCCTGCTTTTGTAACAGATCTGGACTTGAGTGTGTCTTACCTGGTAGAGCTGGCACATGATGAGCACAGCGACCCACATGAAGTGAAACAAACTGTTGAGAAACATCCAGAACATCCACGGTGAGCAGGTGGCGATCTGGGTGATGTAGATCCAAAAGCCATCTTTAGTGTAGCTGGTAGCACAGTGAATCCTCCAGTCTGCAGAAACAGAGCACAATCACGTTCAGTTCATCAATATTATACATACGTATGCTACTAATGAAAAAAAACTAAATTAGGTAAAAATCAGGTCTCATTTGTTAATATTAAAGGGATAGTTCACCCAAAAATGAAAATTGTCATCATTTACTCACCATCAAGTCATTCCAAACCTGTTATGAGCTTATTTCTTCTGTTGAACATAAAAGAAGATATTTTGAAGAATGTTGGTAACCAAACAGTTAACGGTACCCATTGACTTCCACAGTATTTTTTTCCATACTATAGAAGTCAATGGCTACCGTCAACTGGTTACATGCATTCTTCAAAATATCTTTTTTTTACAGGTTTGGAACATCTTAAGGGTGAGTAAATGATGACAAGACTTTCATATTTGGGTGAACTATCCCTTTAATGCATTAACTAACATGAACTAACAATGAACTATATTTGTACAGCACTTATTAACCCTATTTAATGTTAGTTCACAGTGCATTAATGTTAACAGATAAAACTTTGATTTTAATGATGAATTAGTAAATGTTGAATCTAAATGCTGTTTAAGTATTGTTCATGCTAACGAATTAAACCTGTTTGTAGAGTGTTACAAAAATGTATACAATTTTCTTCTGAAATTTATCTATATGCATTTATCATCTCATTGATCGTATAAAACTATGCAAACCCAAGTGTACTTACAGCAAATGCATCCGTATATCATCCAACAGATCATACACAACAGGAAGAACAAGTAGCCCATAAAGTAACGGTGGTTTCCACTTCCTGTCCGCAAACAACGAGGAGAAAAACACAGACAAATGAAAGGAATGAGTCATATCTGCCGCTTTACATTCCCTCAACTATCTGCCTTTGGCTCAAATTAGTCCAAGATTTGGATTATGGGATGCTAAATGGGCTTTCTTCACAATAGTGAACAATTTCCTGGCCAATCTCTGCCTTTTCATGTTAATGTCAGGTGGAAAAGCATGTGAGGTGGATGGTTGGTGGGACTTAATGTAGGTATAGGCCTGAAAAACTCACCTACGCAGTTGCCGACCCACGGGCAGTGGTGATCAAACTTGGCAATGCATCGATTGCAAACAGCGCAGTGTTTGGATCTGATTGGCTTCCGTATCTGTGGAGAACAGGCCGTTAAAGTGAGTGTTTTATGCACGGGCACCTCGATGGAAATTGCAATGCAAATCAGACTTTTGAGTTATCAGCTTGCCAACACTGACTGTGTTCAAGCAGCGGTGTGCAGAATAGAAGAGAGTCATAATTACCAAACAGGTGCTGCAGAATATGCTGAGATCCAGACTGCCTGTTTCTGCCAATTCAACTATAGTCTGAAGAGAGACGAAGAGAAAACAGCAGAGCATTTTTTCATTTTCTGAAGAAAATGAGAGTGGTGCTTTCCTGTGCATAAAGCATCAGTGTTCTGGATGGTTGCTTACTGGCACAAGTTAAAAAGCCCTGAATCATACCACTCGAAGATTTGGAGAAATGTAGCATTCCATCACTTGCTCATCAATGGATGCTCTGCAGTGAATGGGTGCTGTCAGAATGAGAGTCCAAACAGCTGATAAAAACATCACAATAATCAACAAGTAATCCACACCACTCCAGTCCATCAGTTAACGTCTTGTGAAGCCAAAAGCTGCGTGTTTGTAAGAAACAAATCCATCAAGGCATTTTAACAAAAAATGGTCACTTCTGGCCAAAATATACATCCATATAATGCTTCCTCCAGTGAAAAAGTTAATTCTCTTGTCCTCTCACATCAAAATTCACCCACATATTTATTTTGGACCGTTTTGGCTTGTAAACGGTGCTTGATCTGTACAGATTTCTCCCCTCATTCAGATGAGACAACATTTTCACTGGAGAAAGCAATATTATGGACTTGTATTTTGGCCAGAAGCAACATCATCATGGATTGGTTTATTATAAACATACAGCTTTTGGCTTCATAAGATGTTAACTGATGGACTGGAGTGGTGTGGATTACTTGTGGATTATTGTGATGTTTTTATCAGCTGTTTGGACTCTCATTCTGACGGCACCCATTCACTGCAGAGCATCCATTGATGAGCAAGTGATGGAATGCTACATTTCTCCAAATCGGATGAAGAAACAAACTCATCTACATCTTGAATGACTTGAGGGTGAGTAAATTTTATCTGCAGATTGAGATTTTACCTTTTTCTTCTGCTCCTCGGATGCTTTGATGATACCAGGGTCGGACTTCCAGGACTTGCCAAAGTTGTAGAAGAGAGCCAGACTGTTGAGCAGGAAGGGCAGGTGGATGGTGACGAAAGGGAGATGTGTGGAGAGTTAAGGAAGTTATGTTTAATATGGCACAGCAAAAGAATCAACAGGGTATACTTTTTTTGGCCCAATTAATTGAATCAGACTGTTTTGAATGTATCATTTGAGACTCACTGATTTAGTGAAAGGAACCTATTTAAAAGAATGATTTCATCACAAATCTTACGACAAAAAATAATAACTGAGCTAGTAGTCAATCAAACTGTGATCCTCTTAAGACATGCAAACTCATAGTCCTATTAAAAATCTAAGAAACTTCACAAGTTTAGTAAATTAGTGAAATGTACTTTCTCTCATCCCGTTTAAATCGAACATACAGTTTGACAAATGACTTCTTGAATTGAGACCGAAAATTCCGTGGAATTCTGAGCTTCCACATTTCAATGAATTATTTATTTAAAAATGTAACATTTCCTGTTTGACTTGTGGCTTTGAGATCTGCATGTAACACGAGCGTCTCCATCAACCAGAGGCAAACTATGTCCAAAAAGACACTGACAAATGCAGAAAATCTGTTTCTCCTGTAAGTGGGTCAGTTGTTTCGCTGCATACAGGCAACAATTACAGCAGGAAAAAAAACAAGAGCTCAATCCTCAGAGGAGATGCTCTATTGTTGGATGATAAAGGCGAGAGGGAAACAGATCCACCTAGAGCTCTCGATCTGATTTCAGTGATTTTAGCTGCAGGGTTTGAGCGCATTGTTTCTATTCCTGAAGCACCTGGACACACGCCGGTTCTGTGCACACTAAACATCACTCCACAACCTCCAATTACAGCCACACGAACCACATTTCAGCAGCTTCTTTCGAGATGCAGATCCAGACATGAGTCACGTCTTGAGTGGTTTGCTCAGGAGATAAGAAAATGCTTCAGCTTTGGGAAGAAATCCTATTTTACCACTATTGTTTGACAGCACCATAACCACAGAAATGCAACATTGTCATTACCAGACAAGAACTCGGCTTTCTTGTGTTTGTACTTGCTTTCTCTCACCTAATGGTGGGCGTCATGAACAGAATCTTATATCACAGTATGAGTAAGTAAATATCACAGTCATCATTTATAGCACAATATAGTTATTTTTGCTGGAAATTCAATAAAACACTGTTTATATATATTAAATAACTATAGAGGAATGCCAAATGTTGGATAATCCAGAAAAATAAATAGATCACACATGAAAAGTGCTCCATCTTATTTGATTATTTCTTCTTGATAAAATTGATGGGACACAAATTGATGGATCAGATTATTCATAACAAAAGACTGCTTAATAACAAAGACCCCTTACAGGAATAATTCACACGAAAATGTAAATCTGCTGACAGTTTACTGACCCTCCGGCTATCCGAGTTGTAGATGATATTGTTTGTTTATAGGAACAGATTTGGAAACATTTATTATTCCATCACTTGCTCACCAATGGATCCTCAGCAGTGAATGGGTGCCATCAGAATGAGAGTCCAAACAGCTGATAAAAACATATCAATAATCCACATGATGTTAACTGATGGACTTGAGTGGTGTGGATTACTGTGATGTTTTTATCAGCTGTTTGGACTCTCATTCTGACGGCACCCATTCACTGCAGAGCATCCATTGGTAAGCAAGTGATGTAATGCTACATTTCTCCAAATCTGTTCCCAACTGCATTTATTATTTTGCAAAACCTCATTTTGTGTCTATCTCTCCTGTAAATGATGTAAAGCTTCACTCCGCACCAATAAGCGTGTGGAAATATCTACCAGTATTCGACACATTTCTACCATTGCACAATACATACTGTCACGCCGCCCAGCCCTTCTCTCACCCACACTATATCACTTAAGGTGTCAAATTCTCTACATTTATTGTGCGAGTCACTCCTGATAAAAATTTCTGTGGAAAATTAGGCATATCCATGTCAAGCTTGTCAAAGATGATGCATCTGCCTAGAGTTTTACACTTCACCACAACTTGAAACAAATGATCTCCAGAAAAACCCACTAACTCAAGTTGGCGTCAGTAAACCGTGGGTGAAAGAGGGATATTTTCATCTCAGTTTGTTTTCATGAAGTGTGAATGGATGCTACTAAACTACTGAACATACTGCTAAACGTCATATTTCTTATATCTTCCCCTATAAGAATTTCTTTCTCTCATCCGTTCCTTTCATTAAGTCCATCACACCGAGTGAACGTTTAAACAAAAAAGCTTCTATACCAGATCATTTTCAATCTTTCAACACTGAAAAGTAGATATTGCCATATAAATTGGGTCACTTCAGCAACCCAGTTTTAAGTGTCATGTCGGGAAAACAACAAAGACAGAAAAAGAAGATGTTTTCAAAGGAAGATGTAAAATTCTTTAGCTCTTGGATAAAAAGATGACCTGGTTTTCTGCCGTCAGCGTTCTTGTACGCATGCTCTTCTGAGTCAACCAACATATCAATGGATGCTTATGTGAATCACAAAGGGAAATGCTAGATTTGCTTTTGCTGATAAATGATGTTGTGTCAGAAGAACTAAATACAATATTCTGATTAAGTAGGTTGAATCAGCCTAATTGAGTTGCATCAGTTTCTTATTATGATCATCAAACTAATGGAGCAACTAAAAAGGATATCATTCCAGAACCAATAAAACCAGGTGATGTACATCCAGAACTTAGTGGCCAGATAGATGCCCAGAGGAAGAGCACTATGCATGGAGTGATCGAAGAAAGACCTAGAAGCAGAGATCAAATATTAGCGATGATGCTTTGCATTCACATCAGAATGCATTAAAAGGCTGAGTAGCACCACAGATGGGTAATACGGCGTCGTACTTGGACAGAAACTGCACGACGAGCCACATCGCTGCATACATCACACCCTTGATGAGCCAGGAGTCAATGTCCAGATCGGCGATAAATCCCACCAGCCAGATCACCAGGAACGGAGTTCCCAACATCACCTTCTGCCTGAACTCCTGCAGACGGACAGAGAAACGTCTGAGTGCATGCAATACATTTTGATTTCTCCTTAATGGTAATTGATCGGTTGCTCTACCTTGTCCATTTTGAGCCGTTTCAGGTATGAGGGACTGTCGTAACCTTTGGCTTGTCTGGCCTCCTGCAGATGATTTATCATCCACACATTTTTCCTCTGTTTGGCCAAATCCAGTGGCGTCTCCCCCTGCAAGCAACAAATATTATTAGATGTCATGTACACCAGTGTGGTTATCATTAATTAAATCTATAACTATAATACATTTATCTGTTCATGTGAAATAAAATAAGTAGTAAATCAAAAATTAAACAAAATTTGAAAAAGTTTAAGTTCAACTAAGGTAAAACTAAAAAATAAAACAAAAATAAATACATTTAAACTATTTAGAAAAATATATAAAAAAATCATACACATGACAAAACCAAATTAAAAATAAACAATTTAAAATTAACAAAAATTAATAAAAACTATAATAGTATATAAATAATACTACAATAACACTAAGCAGAAATTACACTATTTAATTTAAAGATATAACATACTTAATAATTACTGCAATGGAATTTATATTAATTTTAAATAAAATTTACTAAAATAATTAGAAATAAATAATTGGAAAATGAATTCATTTAAAAAAAATGATTTGAACTTGCTCATAAATAAGTCAAATAGACTGATTTATACTTTGCATAGCAACTTCTGATTCTGTAATCCTATTATACTTTTTTTCACAAATCAAGAAGTTTAAAAATACCAAATAAAAGGAAGTAAACACTATAACCGAAAGTACGCACTGTAATTTGGCAAGTCTGTGCGCACAAGGAATCATATTCTCTCAAATAAAGACCACATAACACTAATTTTACATACAGCACACAGCAAAAAAGCATTTATATCCCTAACAACTGGAGTTAGCTAGGTTTGTGGCATTAAATATTTATTAAATATTAAAATACTTATTTAAAATGCATTTTTGCTGAATGCATACAATATGAAAAGGTGTTACAGCATTTGCTGTTCAATTATCAGACAGAACTGTTAAATAAAGAAGACATTAAACGGATAGAGATAGAGAATGGGTGTCAAAATAAAAGTTCTGCATTCAACACTTAGTGGCCAAAAAGAAAACTTCCTGGCAGATGCCGATAATAATAATAATTAAAAAAAAAGTACCACCAATCCACACACTTGATTTCAGTATGCTAGTGTAGGCGTCTGGACTTTACCTTGATGTTCTGAGTGTCGACATTAGCATTGGCCTCCAACAGCAGGCTGATGACGGTAGTGTTTCCAGCCAGAACCGCCCAGTGCAGAGCCGTGTTCTTATGATACTTATCACCCAGATTCACCGACACGTTAAACGTCAGCAACAGCCGTGTCGGGTCAACACTGCAGAAATCCCATCTAATTAGCTTTACATCTGGCAATGGCAAAAAAATACATGTCCTCTCACAATACACACGTACCTGTGCATCCGATAAGCCGCCCACATCAAAGGGGTCATGCCATTCTGATCCATCATATCCACATCCTAGAGAATATGACACAGAGAAGACTTAAAAGAAAGATCAGACTGAGATCAAACACAGTAGGCGCGTTTCCATTACAGATTTGCGCAAAACTTTGGTGATATTTTATAAATGTCGATAAAAAAGTATTGCTAAATGACTGCGTTTCTATTAACCAATGTTATGAGACTTAAACGTAAACTTTTGCCTCTCGCGATAAGTCATGGCAATGGATTTTGGTGGGATTTTGACGGATTTTGGCTATATTTATTCAAAGGAGGCTTATGCGTGTATCTTTACAGAAGCAGCAAAGAGAGCCGCTTCAGAAACGTGCGTGGCGCGGCTGGAATAAACCATAGACTGTATAAAAACATAAACACAAGCATTGAGTGGTCGTAATCAGCTTCAGTGACCGTATCTGAGCCACACTGCACCGCAGATGTGTGCAGTGTAAATAGTCTAAGCATTAATAGTAGGGAAAGCCCCTTATACTTGAGAGCAGCCACATATGAAGTTTGCGAATTATTCCTTTTTCGCATTGCCTGAAAAACCACCTCATGCGAGCGTAAAAACTTTTTTGCGATATATGGGCGTTTTTGCGAAATTGACGCGTTTCCATTAGGCGTATTTTCAATTCGCAATTTCAATTTGCGCAATTTGAAGGGTAATGGAAACGCGCCTACTGTCATCTTTCCTAGAGGTCAAACTTCCATGGATGGAAATGTCATAACACCCCCTGCAGGCTGAAAATGGACTAAGCACAACAAAATGCATGATAAATCGACTCTTTAGCATGTTAATAAACAGTATTGAGTGATAGGGTGTCTTCCTGAGTAGCTCCACCCACAGTGAATTCTCATTGGCTCAAAATCGCAAATCAAAATATTCTGATTGGCTGTGACTTTGCCAGCTTTTGTTTTGATGAGATCAGCACCCCACAGAGTGTTTTATAAGTGTTAAACAAGTGTACCTGTCCTTTGGCAATGAGATACGCCACAATGGAGGTGTGTCCAAACTGAGTGGCCAGGTGCACACAACTGCATCCCTCGCCATCGATGAGAGAAGGATCAGCGCCGTACTTCATTAACTGCACCACCATGGAGAGATGGCCCTGTCTGAATGCGAGAGAGCAGACGAGAGGTGTGCATTAATAAAATATCATGCATGCACTAAACATACATGCAGTACGTGCACACTATGCACTGAATAACTGGATAACCTATCACATCTCACAAACTACAACAGAGCACAATGCATCCCACAATGTAATGCACTACTATTTTACTACAGTCAGGGTTCCTCAAATCTTGCCCTGGAGAGCCAATGCGCTGCAGAGTTTAGCTCCAACCCTGATCAAACTCACCTACCTGTGATTTTCTAATGATCCTGAAGACAATGATTAGCATGCTCAGGTGTGTTTGATTAGGTTTAGAGCTAAACTGCAGGAAAGTGGATCTCTTGGGCCAGATTTGAGGATCTCCGTTTTACTATAATATACAGGTATGTACTATTATCATATTTATTTGTTTTACTTAAAAAAAAAAGTTTAGTTCTCATTTTAAATTAATCTTATTTTTAGTTGAAATTTTAGTAATTTCTGTTTTGTGTTTGTCATTTTTATTTCGTTTTTATTTCTATTTCATTAACTTAATACTTTAGTTTTTGCAATTTAAGTAGTATGTCAAGTTCAAATTATTTCAGCTAATTTTCTTTTTCCCCTTCTAATATTTATATTTCATTTCAGCTTTATTTTAATTAACTAAAAATTGATTAATTTGAATTTAAGTTGCAGTAATATTGTTTTGAATTGTCATTTTTATTGTTTTATATTTCTATTTAGCTTTAATTTACTTATTTCCGTTTAAATTTTTATAATTTTAGTACTACACCTTTAAACTTATTTTATTTCAGATAAGTTTTCCTTTTTTCACAAGTTTCGCCATTTAATATTTACACTTAATTTCAGCTTAACTTCAATTACTCAAAGATGGTTTAATTTTAGTTTAATTTCTAGTTTTGTTTGTCATTTTATTAGTTTTACAGTTTTTTTAAATTTACTTAACTTATTTCAGTTTTAGTTTTTGTAATTCAACTTCAACTTTTTATTTGAGATCATTTGTTTATCTAATATTTATATTTCATTTCAATTACCCAAAATTTTTTTTTATTATAATTTAAGTTTGAGAAATTTTGTGCTCATTATTTTTAGTTTGTTTGTTTGTATTACTACTTTAACTTTTCAGCTTTAGTTATTGTAATTTTAGTACTTCAAGTTAAACATATTTTATTTCAGCTAATTTTAAGTTTTTCATCATTTGTTTTTCAGTATTTATTTCATTTCAGCTTTATTTCAATTACCCTTCCATCTCCAGTGAGACGAACAAACCAGAAAATTCAAGTAAGATTTTTCTCTTCTTGACTCAAAAATCAGAACTATTTTTACACAGATTAACTCTATGAGGTCATGAAACCACGTTTCTTCATACGAATTAATTAAATAGCAAGCAGTATACACTATATACTAGGTGGTCTGCAATAAGCAGTATGCTGGTATTGCATTTCAAACACACACCGTGTAGCCCAGTGCAGTGGTGTAGAGTTGAGATCTCCTCCCAGCTGGTCGACTATGGCACCTTTAGATATGTAGTACCTAAAAAGAGTGAATCGACAGACAGCATTCAGGAAACGAGACGTCTAGGCTTTATCTTACAGTTGCAAAAGAGAGCAGCGTAAAATGAATGACTGCGCCAGAGCAGGCGCTTATTAAGAGGAGGATATGCACACGCACACACAGCCTCGTAATGGGAATTTCAAGCTTTTCTCATCTGAGCGCTGATAGAGTAATAACTCTATCCATTCCTCTGTGTGCGTATGTGTGTGCTGTCTTAATAACGTGAGGAAAAAAAGGATCCAGGGATCCAGGAGTGAGCGGAGAATTGTGTATAAAATGAATACGTACTTGACCAGGTCTATGCGGTTGTTGATTGCCGCCCAGTGCAGGAGTGTGACATTTTCTTTATCCGGCTGACGCACGTCATATCCGGCCTCCACCAGCTCACGGCATCGCTCGAATATCCCGTACCTGAGCACAAATACACCTTAAATGACACCATAAAACATCCCTGAACAGCAGCTTTTATTCATTTTGCCAACATTGGTGTTCGCTCTGTCAGTTGTTTTTTAATTAGTCTTAGTCCTGTGTCAAATGTCCTTTTTATTTGTTATCATATTTAGTCAACCTATCCTGTTTTTATTTAGTCAGGTTTTAGTTGACTAAAAGTCCTGGAATTTTAGTCTAGTTTTAGTCAATAAATATAAAACAAACACTCTACATTGAAAACTGGTAGAACTCAAAAGCGTCTCTCAAAAGCTAAAACGGAGACTTTCCTAGAATTAATTCCAATAATTCTGAATTATATTCATGTCTTTCTATCAAAACATAAAAGTCTTTGTATTGTGGCGCACAGGTTGTGTAAGTGCATTTATTCAGCAACCTCAATCATAAACAAGGTTGTGTAGCACTTCGTTTGCCAAAAAATGAAATTTATTTAATTTTCATATGATTAAAAGATTCATTAAATTTATGTTTTATGCCTTCGTTTGATTACCAGTCAAATTAAAATACACAGAATTAAAAAGAAAAAAAATCATAGGGTCCAATTATTGTTAAATAAATATATAAATAAATTAAGTTTATATAAATACATTTTTATGAATTAATTGGACATGCTCTTTCGATTATTAAAATTTAATTAAACCATTAAATGGAATCCAGAAAACTTCAAATGCAAAACACAGAATTTTGTAAATATAAAACGGAACACATTTCATAGGGTCCTAAAAATTAAATTTTTGGTACATTTTTAATAAATTATTGCTAAGTTGTGTAAGTTTCATGATTTTCAATTATTAAACATGACTTCTGATTACTAACATTTAATTTAACCATTAAAACAGAGACCAGAAAATTCAAATGAAAAAAAACTTGAATCCATAAAAATTAAAACCGCAAAAAATAATTAAATTATAAAACAAATAAAATAGAATTTGGGAAAAAATAAAAGAGATTTCATAGGGCTCTATAATGGGGGAATTAAACTCTTGACATCTGGCAACCTCAAACATGAAAACGCTTGGAGGTCTATATTTTATCTCCTCTTTTATGTTGAAGGCAATATAGAGAAATTTTGGATATATAGTTTTTATTAGTCATGGAAAAAAATGAATATTTTGTTATAGTTTTTGTTAAATTTAACACTGGCCAACAAACATAAAAAAAGTGTAAAAAAAGAAAAGTCTTTTGCATTCACTGATAATACAGAATCATGCTGCTCATATGACGTGGTTTTGTCGACATGTTTGTGATCATCATCTAGTTGTTTCTGGGTGGGGGGTATTTGTGTAGACAGTCGTTCCAGTGTGCGTGTAGACTCACTGGGTGGCTTTGATGATGTCCCAAGTGCTGTAGTCATCCACGTGGCTCTTGCGGCTGACGCTCTCGCTGTAGTCATGGTTATAGTGACTCTGGGGTTTAATTTCCTGCGGAAGAGAATTATAGTCAGTTCATCTCTATAGAGCCATCAGATAGACGGATGAGTGATGAATGACACTGAGGATCCTGGACACAACGTGTCATACGTACGGTCAGTCTCCGTGGTGATGACGAGCTTAAACACACACACACACACACACACACACACACACACACACACACACACACACTGAAA